CCTTCTTTTTTAAGAGAGAAAACTTGGATGGCCGTTCTTTCACCATTCGTGTCTTTGATTCTTTGGAGAGAAAATGCACATAGCGAAAGCAGCAGGCAGCTACACTCGCTGATGCTTGATACATACCTGCTCCTACCAAACCAGCAGCCCCGAGTTCGCGCTCCGTCCCGGCAAGGGGAGGACCCCGAGCGCTCACTTCTGATTTCTACCAGAAACCAGGTACCAGGTATCTGGTTGTGCAAGGACCTTTTCCCTCCGCATCTCCTCCATCCTACAGCACCAGACGCTCTCCAAACGCCACACCCACAACCCCTTCTGCAGAAGTCAAACAGGCCAGGACTGAGACGACCCCGCCAGAGTATAGGACCAAACCTAAAGCCACTTTAACAACTTTTTTTCTATCTCCAAGGCTAAAAGGGGGCTGTGGGAAGGCACTGCTCTGAGGTGATTAAGGCCTTGTTATCCTGCCTATTTAGGGAGACGCACCACTGATGCTCTTCTAAACAGAGAGGGTTACTTTGTTGCAAGGAAAACAATGGGGCACACCCAAGTAGTTAGCAATCCATCCTTCTGTTTTCCGGCATATCCTGAATGTCCCAGACTCTGCCTGGGTTGATAAGAAAAAGCCAAAAGAAAACAAACGACTGAAATAGCCAAAACCCTCATTTATTCTGCATTGCATTATGTAAGGAAGCTACGCTGCTTGTTATCCTTCTTCCTTAACTCTCCCTCCTCTGTCCCTGTCCCCCAACATTACCTAAGTCCAAACCACAGGACCAGGTGCTAACACTTTAGCAACAAACACAGATACATGATACTGATCCTTTAACACTTTCTCATAGACACTCCTTTGTACCATTGAAGCATTTTGATATCCAAGAAAATACTCAGTGTTGCACCTAATATAAATACATTGTACTACTTTTAATTGGAGCTAAAAATGGGCTTCGCAAATTACGACTGGAAAAGCCATAATTTTTCAGGCAACTAAAATTAGATCATTTTGGTGAGCAAAAGATCTATTCCAAATAAAGCAGTAAATTTCACACAGAAAGCCTCCAGCGGGGAGGGCAGAGTTCACAGCGATCTTTCTCTGTATAGCCTTTCCCAGAGTTTAAAAGCCTCTGTGGAGAGGTCCTGCATTACCACGGGGACGGCCAGAGCACCAAAAGGAGGTGAATAAAAGACTCTGAGCAGTCTGTCCTTAACATCCCTAATTTGTAAATGATGAGACGAAAAATAGCAACTACCAGTTTCTAAGCCAAAAAGAGAGAGAGAGAGAGAAATAAGTGGCAAAATGTTGATCTGGAAACAATTCCGTCCCATTACTAGGAAGGGGATGACCCACTCCATCACATATGTGTTTCCAGAGAGTCCTAGGAAGGAAGCAACAGAACAAATATGGGACAGAGGCCAAGCCTGTTTTCTGCAGCAAGATTTCTCCCACTCTGCAGGTCCTTTCATTGCAGGCCAACCACTCAACTCAAACTTCAACCTAAAAAGCCAGCACATGATCAAACCCTCTAGAGGAATACATACTAAGCTGACAGATAAGGTCATTTTGCAAGAAGCAAAACTGCCTTCCCTAGTCCTATTTTCTGACCTAAGGACTTTTAATCTTTCTTGATAATAAGTGAAGCAACACACAGATAACTGAACACACCCATTTCTCCTCTCTACTACTAGCTCCTGGTTGATGAAGTAGACAAGAGAAGTATGTACTCCCTGTCCAAATACACCATATTCTAACCATGCCACCCAAAGGCGATGAATGTGTATCGTACTGTTGGAAAATCTCCCACTGGTACCCCTCTAGAAGGATTCTCTGAACCAGGCCGAGATTCTCTATTTCCGTGCCAAACTCCCTCACTCCAAAGATGGCTCCTTTCTCAGGTCATGCTTTTCTCTTCATGGAGTTGATGGATTTTTGCCTTCTCATAAATGAGTGCCCAGGAGAATTTAAATGTCACTGAACAAGAGGAAATCTCAGCAAACCGAGATCAACCACCATTCTGTGACTTGTTGAAAACACAGCTTCCAAGGATTCTGACCAGTGAAGCTGTTACCTTTGTCCTCGGGCAGTCTGTATTGCAGGAGTCATGACAAGACAAGACTCAAAGAGAACAGGCAACGCTCAAGCCCGTCGTCACCTATTGGACCCACGCCAGTCTCTGGTCAACAGACAGCAGACATTTCGTTTTCTTCTTCAGAAATTTAAGTTGTACAAGATCATGCTTTTTAGGGGCACCTGGGTGGCTCAGTGGGTTAAAGCCTCTGCCTTCGGCTCAGGTCATGATCTCAGGGTCCTGGGATCGAGCCCCGCATCTGGCTCTCTGCTCAGCAGGGAGCCTGCTCACCCCTCACCCCCCACCCCCCACCCCTGCCTACTTGTGGTCTCTCTCTGTGTCAAATAAATATTTTTTTAAAAGATTATGCTTTTTACATTTCACTAATTACCAATATTTTCTACCATTATTTTTACTAATTACCATTATTTTACATTTTAAAAATTACCATTATTACTAAGGGGTAAATAAAATCTCATCTCTCAGGGCACCTGGGTGGCTCAGTTGGTTAAGTGTCTACCTTTGGCTCAGGTCATGATCCTTGGTTCTGTGAGAATCGAACCCCACATCACTGGGCTCCCTGCTGAGTGGGAAGTCTGTTTCTCCCTCTGCTCCTCCCCCTGGCTCATGTTCTCTAATCAATAAATAAAAATCTTTTTTAAAAAATCTAATGGGGGTGCCTGGGTGGCTCAGTCGTTAAGTGTCTGCCTTCAGCTCAGGTCATGATCCCAGGGTCCTTGGATCGAGCCCCGCATCGGGCTCCCTGCTCCACGGGAAGCCTGCTTCTCCCTCTCCCACTCCCCCTGCTTGTGTTCCCTCTCTCGCTGTGTCTCTCTCTGCCAAATAAATAAATAAAATCTTTAAAAAAAAAAAAAAAGAAAGAAAGAAAGAAAGAAAGAAAGAAAGAAAGAAAGAAAGAAAATCTAATTGCTCTTATCTACTAAAACCACTCTTTCCCTAATATCAGGTAGCACTTTCAGGAGACTTCCCTCTCACGAGGGGATCTGCAGCTCCAGGCCACGCCACAGACAACGACGCCGTGCTGGGCCAACAGCGTCCCCTGGTGGTTACTCGCCCAACTGCTGGACCCAAGAGCAAGCGGATGCAGAGGCCTTCAGCACCCCCACAGCTTTACCCTGGACACTTCCGCGCCCTTCCGCTGGCCAGGCGGGGAGCATAAGGCAAGGAGATGTGAGGGGCAGGGAAGTATTTACGAACTGCGCAAGTCAAGAACCGCTTTTCCAAATAGTAAACATCCCTCTGCCGAGATTCTCATGCGTCCCTTCATGGGGCACCATCTTAGCCCACAAGGTCTCAAGAGAAATGAAGGCTGATGATAGATAGAGCTCAGGCTTCCTCCTTCCCTTCCTTCCTTCTTTTCTTTCTTGGTCATTGAACTAAGTTTATTCTATTTAAATGCCCATCTTTTATTGGAGGTTAGGCCTATTTGGGGGAGAGTTAAGATGTCCCTTCTTCTATAAAATGGTGGCATTAAAACATGATCCATTTAACAAATTACCCTTGCCTTTCCAAGTTAGCAACCTTAGTTGCTCTTTTTTTTTTTTTCTTTTTAACTAATGGACAAAACTATAAATAGTCTGGGTCACGCCAAGCCCTGGCCCCCATTTGTTCTTGTCCCTTCTCTTCTGCAATAACTGAGTTCCCTGGGGTAGAAGGACATCCCTGCCCCTGTATACATTAAGGGGGACAAAGGTTAAGTAAACTTGTGGGCTTCCTTTTCACTGTCCCTCACTCCCTTGCTTATATTATAGACAAACCACTCCTCACAAAAGGTCCAAGTTCCTCACAGAACATTTTGGGTTTACCCAGAATGAAAATGTTATCCATGGGTAGATGTCATCAAGGCTCCAGAGTACAAAAGCCAGATCTACCTCTGGCTGTCAGTATGTTTAGAAAAATCTGGTAGACTCATGGTTTGAGGTCACCTGGAATCTGTGGTAGGAGGCACCCCAAGGTCTCCTGTGAAAGCATTTACTCTAAGGGGTAAAGACGGTCAGGCAAACAAGTCCCAGTCCTCATCATCAGACCCTGAGGGAAAGGAGATTCTGAGTTCTATGTGGAGTTGGTCACTAAGACTGGTTGTTCCCTACCAACACTCCACAGGTCCCTGTCTGAGTAATAAGGAAAAGGGAGGGCTCCCCAAAAATTTGATAAAGTTTTGTTGTTGTTTTTTTTTTAATTAAAAACCCATGTAAGACATTGGGGCAAAAAATATCCCTATGGTATCTACTTGACATATAATACAACATAGCTCTCACACACCACCAACATCAGATAGTAAGATAGCACGGCTCACTCTGGGTGCCTTAAGATGGCATGATTCGATACAGCTCACAATATCACCCCTTAGCCATGCTGGGAGCATCCAACAACAGTCCTGCCATCATGAACACTGGGATCTTCAAGATGGACACACACGCGCGCGCACACACACGGACAAAGACCTCAGGAGGCGACCTGCCTCACTGCTGAGTCCTTGAGCCCACTGGGAGGACGTGTGAGCCACCCTCCCGCTCCAGCCGCGGCCTCTCACAAAGAACGGTGATAATAATACTGAAATTATTAGAGACTAGACAATCACGGACTCAGACAGGAAGATCCCCAACTTCAGTCAAGGTTCAGAGCCAGAAATCAGATTTGCCACAGGAGGCAAATCCCAACGTACAAATTCCAGGTTTTCCTGGAAGGCGAGTATTCTTATTATTATGTTTTTCACCCTCCAAGTAAATGGAGGCACGTAATTTGTGCTTAAACATCTCCAGGAGCGTCGACATTAAATCACTTGAAGACAAGGTCTTCGTCTTCCTTTGCCTTCATCTCTAGTCCTCCCATTAGCAGAAAATGGAACGTTTATACCGTCTGTGCCCCTTCCCCTCCTGCCGTGTCACCCACAGGAATACAGAGTTAATATACCGAGCATGTTAGCAGCGCACTGAAGGATTCCTGAGACGTCTTCGACTTCCTCTTTGCTGGAATGGTCTGCATAGGACCATCTGTTGGAGATACTGTGGAAATTCCTTTCTGCATCCCTGTAACTAAGAAGAAAACAGAATTAGCACACGGAGGCCACTTTTAAACCACGCGCGAGTATGCGTACACACGAGCACACGCCGTCTGTGCCCCCGGTGTAGCCACATTCTAAAATAATGGCAGCTTTTAGACACCGTTTCTGGCAAAAGTGGCCGCAAACATGAGCGTTCGCGGCGTGGGCCGGGAACCCGGGGCCGGCATTAACACGGCAGCGCCGGGTGAAAACACCGGCCCGTCCGCAGCCGGTACCGAGACGGCTTCCTTGTCGGAGCGCTGGTGGGTCACCCGGTCCTACGAGAAAGACGTTTAGCACAAAGCCTGACTCATGGTACAAATTCGCTAAGCAAGCATCTGGAGTCTTGTGGTCTTCCCGTCTGTGAGACGTGGGGAAGTGAACTCACCTCTGTGGGTGTAACCTGCCCCCCTCATAAAGTGACGCCCCCCCACCCCCAAGTTCTTGCGAGGACAGAATGACGAAACGCCTGGGTCATCAGGTGTCACCTGGATCTTCTCCAGTTGCCTCCGGATCAGAGCCAAGGCACCAAACGCTCAAGATAATGACCTAAGGCTCCCACATTCCCCCCAAGAGTAGCCATTTCCACCAGAACTTAAGAAAGGACTCGAGTCCTTGCTACTGCTGCGTTACAGACACCAAGGAATGAAACAAATCTGAAAGGCAATTCTCAGAAGAGTGAGGAAGTGGCCTAGGAAGACAGCGCTGTTATTACCCCTCCTCCCTCTCCTCCAAGAGAAAGAGAAAGGACACGTTTTCTGCAGAAGCCCAGCTGGGGAAACAGGGTCCACCCCGATTAAGACCGGGGGCTGGGTATCGCGACCCATCATGAACGTCTGCTGAGGTGGCATAATTCCTGAGTGGAGGGAGGTTCCAGAAAGAGCTACTATCAGGGAAAAGGACAAGAAGCCAATGAGAGCAGCACCGTACCTCCATTTGGCAAACAGGAGTTGCCCATGGGTGAGGAGATACCAGGAAAGGGTGGGGGGGGGGAGAAAGAGAGGGGAGCATTCGTGGTCCCTGCTGACCGCCCTCCCCATCCAGCAGGAGACGGATCCCACCGGCAAGACTGGAGAGTGCGGTCCTCAGAGCCAGGAGGAGGGCCATCTGACACTGTCCAGGTAGAACCCATACATGGACCCGACTGAGGACACCACAGTCAAGACAGGACTGTTCCAACTACCAGTGAATTTGAAAAAGCTTCTGCCATTTTCCATTTCATTCCTGCCTGATGCATCAGAAGAGGGGCACCTGGGTAGCTCAGTGGGTCAGAGCCTCTGCCTTCAGCTCAGGTCATGATCCCAGCGTCCTGGGATCGAGCCCTGCATCGGGCTCTCTGCTCAGCGGGGAGCCTGCTTCCCTTCCTCTCTCTCCACCTGCCTCTCTGCCTACTTGTGATCTTGGTCTGTCAAATAAATAAATAAATAAATCTTAAAAAAAAAAATACATCAGAAGAGAGAGGAGCCCAGAAAGGGGCGGCCTGGACCCCAGGAGTGAAAAACCACAGGATACCCCCTCTAAGCTGTATTCCCAGTCGCTCAGACGGAGGCCTGACGCAGTGGTGTAAGGGTGAGACTGGGCGGGGGTTGAAGATGTGGACTCGCCTGGAGTGGACTTGGTACTTCCTGGAAATTCCCTGAAATCAGGCAATCTGCCTGAGCTAGCATCAGTGGAAACCCATCCTCACATGTTTGAAATAACTGAAGAGAAAAAATAACATGGCCTCAGGTCTGCACACCTCACGGAGATCAGACCCCAATAAACCAGGCTGGCAAAATACTACAGTTTCCTGAATGCAGGACACTTGATAAAAGGTAGAATGGGGAAGGCAGTTATTAAAAACAGACAAATACAGGCTTACTTGTAAAATCAGGCTCCCACGTTTTAACTGGAATGACCCTAGACAAAGTATTTTTTCTCATAGCCTCAATTTCCTTATTTGTAAAATGAGCTTCATGCAATGATCTTATGAAATAGATGGTCAGCATTACATAAATGTAAGAGACCTAACATGCCCAGTACGTTGCCTCAAAAACACTGATCGATCAATGGATAGTAGCTGTTATCTTACTGTTTTCATTCATTCAGATAGATATTCTATGTAAATACATGAAAAAGAAGCTTGATCACTTTTTAGATAAAATACTGGATAGCCCCCAAATCTGACCATAACAGCAAAAGCAGTATCATTCAAGTTTATTTTCCAGAATAATCTGGGTTTACCCACTTCTCGTGTTCTATGGAAATCATTGTAGCTTAACCCCATTCAGTTGTCTAAAGAAAAAAGGAACAGAAGCTTGGGTGTACAAAACAAACACGGAGCCCATGGTGATAATTGGAATAACAATTTAATTTTAGATGACTACAGGAAATGTTGTCCCAAACTAATAGGAGGTTGGCAAGCAGACCCACTTGTGATATGAGCAGAATGATGCTTATTCTTGGGGGGAAAAAAAAAAGTACAAAACGAGTGGCATGAGTCTGAATACCTATTTCTTCATACTTTAGTTTTTAAAATATATAATGATGGAACATCACATCCCACGAAGCCAGATTATCATGTGTTTTCCAACTGTGGTTTTAAAAACATCTCTGCTTTGTCTGCACTGTCCTGCTCATCTGTCCCCAGCAGCTACGGACCGGTAGGAGTCACGTAGTGTAAACGTGAGTCAAAGTGGCAGGTGAGGCACTCTAGAGGTAGAAATTTGGATGAAGGGAAAAAAAAAAAAAAAAAATCCCACCTCCCAGGGACAAGAAGCTACAGCCAGAGGACGAACTGAGCATGTTTGGCTCCTGACAGTAAACAAGATTCCAAAATTCTAGCAACTCAGGGCGGACAGGGCAATTATGCGATGGGAGGGTGAACGGACAGACAACCAAACACTGTCATGCAGAAGAGTCAGAGACTAAGAGTGGCAACAGTAATAATGACTCCGTGAACACACTGACAAGTTTTGTATACCGAGCACTGTAGTACTTTCCATGATTCTGTGACCTGATGTTATCGTTATAATTTCACTGAACGTCAGCCCAACCAACCCTGCTATTACTAGCATCTTAAACATGAGAAAACAGAGGCTCAGGGAGGTTAGATCAGGTGCCCTAAATCATTCAAAGGCAGAGTCTGACTTTAAATTTAGTAAATCTGGGTGGCTCAGTGGGTTAAGCCTCTGCCTTCAGCTCAGGTCATGATCTCAGGGTCCTGGAATCGAGTCCTGCATCGGGCTCTCTGCTCGGCAGGGAACCTGCTTCCTCCTCTCTCTCGCTCTCTCTGCTTGCCTCTCTGCCTACTTGTGATCTCATTCTGTCAAATGAATAAAAAATCTTTAAAAATAAATAAGTAAATAAATAAATAAATTTAGTAAATCTGCCACATGGTAGCTTTGCTCCCGAGGCACATTTTCTCAGCCCTCGGCTCTAAACCGTGGGACAAGATGCCCAGAGACAAGGAGGCACCGGGCATAATGGTAAAAATGACAGCAGAGGAAAACAGTCCTCATAAACCAGACTTCCCTCAATCCCGGTGCCTCTGAATTCTGAAGGTGAACCCAGCCTACTTCCTACTTACACCTCTTGTTCCCCACTGTTCTTTCCCAGACACACTGTCCAAGAATGAGCTCATCCCCTAGAAGCGTGAGTTACAGAGACAAGCACGAAGAAGTACGCTCAGCACCCCTGTTCTCATTTTGCACCGAGGCAAGAAGACCTGCTTCATGACCAGGACACTGTCAGGGTGAGCGCGCTCATGCAATTTAAGGGGAAAAAAAAAGGAATTAAAAATATGAGAAACTTACACCAAGTCGATCTGACACACAGCATCAGAACATGAAGCATAAATAAGAAATTAAGCCCGTAAGTCAGTAAAATATATGCTCTATGGGAAAGGCTCTTGGCATTAGAACTGTAATAGACCCTGGGCAGTGTCTCAAGCCCACCTTTTATACCCCTTCCAAGCACAATCTACTCTTTCATCCACGGTACACACCCCTCCATGTATAGACCTCCAGGTGCATTCCTTTCATTTACTCACACCACCCCCCCCAAGAAAACATGTTAGTCCCTCCTATGAACTGAGCAATTACGAAGGCATAGGAGCATAAAGGTAAATCTTTTAGATAAGTCAACAACAGAAGCTATGATAAGCTCTACCAAAAACAGTAACAGAGAGGGACACAATACAAAATGATCGGGCTGGGAGGTAGAAGTAGGGGATGGAGGGTTTCTCTAGAATGGGTGGCCAGAGTACGTTTTTCTGAAGATAGTGACATTTCAACAGAGACCTGAACGTATTAAAAAAAAAAAAAAAAAAAGTCACCCATGCACATATGGGGATAGAGCATTCCAGGAAAATGGAATTGGGAGGAGCCAAGACCCTGAGGCTAAGCAGGAGTTGGGAAAAACACAAAGGCCTGGCCTGGCAGGGAGGCAGTAGAAAGGGCAAGTGGAGGGGGTTACAGTCAGAGAGGAAAGCAGAGGCAGATCCCAGCAACAGTTCAGATTTTGGTCTAGGACAGTAAGTCACCATAGGGCTGAAAGCAGGGATGTCACAGCATAATACCTGACCCGCGGCGGCAGTCAGCAGCGTCCCCTGCAAACCGGTCAGAAACGCCGCCTTCTGAGCGCTCGGGATATGTGGGGTCAGAAGCCCCGGGGGCGGAGTCCGGCCCTCCGGGTTTCAGCAAGGCTGCAGGTGACTCTGATGCGCGCCAACACCTGAGAACCCGCGGCATCATCTGATCTGTTTAGTCCCTTTACGGTGCTGGACCGACCAGCTCCCGGGACAGGAGGAAAAGCCCCAGCACGAGATCGGGGTGGCTCTAGAAGCCGCGGTGACAGTGGAGACAACCTGAATGGTCTCTATGAGGAAATCCGCGAACGAGAGGTTGGACAAGTCGAGGAACAGAGCAAATGTTTAAAGACAAAGTTCCTGGGGCGCAGGGAGGCTGTCTCGCTCCCAGTCCTCCGTCTGCACGGCTGCTCCCTGCACTCGCGCCCCTCGCGGAGACCGACGCCTCCGTTCCTAGGGATGCGAGGACGCCTCGACGAGCAGCGAACAACCCCGAGGCTCTGATAAATAAAGAGTTCCACGGCAGTTTTGTGTTTTGTTTTTGTTTTTTTTTTTAAAGATTTTATTTATTTGTTAGAGAGAGAGAGAGAGAGAGCGAGCACAGGCAGACAGAGAGGCAGGCAGAGGGAGAAGCAGGCTCCCCGCTGAGCAAGGAGCCTGATGTGAGGCTCGATCCCAGAACACTGGGATCATGACATGAGCTGAAGGCAGCCGCCCAACCAACTGAGCCACCCAGGCGTCCCCCACGGCAGTTTTAATGGAGAAAAAGGGGAGGCTGGGGGGCCAGTGATGAGAGGCTGACTTGAGAAACTAAAAACAGGAGGGTCAGTGCCCTTCTGGACATGGATGGAGCTGGAGACTATCAGGCTAAGGGACCTAAATCAGTTAGAGAAAGACAAATACCACATGATTTCACTCATGTGTGGAATTTTAGACACTAAACAAGTGAGCCGAAAGGAAAGAGAGACAAAGAAACGGACTCGGAAAAACAGAGAAAACACGGGCGGTCACCAACGGGGCGGGGGAAACAGGTGAAAGGGATGAAGGAGGGTGCCCGGGTGGCGCAGGAAAGTGCCGAATCACTATATTGTACACCTGAAACTAATATTACTCTGCGAACTAGAATCTAGATTTTTTCTTTAAAAAATAAATACCATTTAATATTTTGTAAGAAATAAATTCTTAAATGTAAAAAGTTAATTTTTTTAAAAAATTAAAAGAAAACAAAAACAAAAACCAGGAGGGCTAGCTTATATTCCTTGTTAACCAACCTGATTCGTCCTCCCAGCCTAAGGCACCTAAAAGCTGAAGGACTTCAAGCCAACCCTTCGGCAAAGCCTTATTTCAGGGATTTGGAAAAGCACGTCTGTCCCATCCTCCCCCTGCCCCCCAAAACTAGGTAATGAATATTCAGCACTTCTTACGGATTGCCTGAAATCCCTTTAACTGGCAGAAACATACTCCTCTCTAGTTAGGGATAAAGAGCCCTTAGCTGCGTCTCCCTAAGAGAAACAGAGCACAGGTGCGAATGCTTAAGGGCTCAGACAGGAGCAGGTGGACAGGGAGGCCAGGACTGACGGAAGAGGAAGACACAGTCAGGAAAGGCACGCGTCACAATGCTGCACACGTCACAATGCTGCACACGTCACAATGCTGCACGCGTCACAATGCTGCGCCGGCGGGTTTTCTCTTCATGCGCACGCGCAGGAGGAAAGGCAGTGCGAACGGTGCTTCGAGTCCTCAGAAGCATCCCGCCCCCGGGGGAACGTCCGTTCACAAGTCTCTTTGGAACCGGCCGGACGTCGTGACACCTCTTCACATCCGGGTCGTGTGCACCGTTTTCTCTACACAGCGTCTGCAGGAAGCGGGACTAGAAAAGACCCTTTGGGGCCATGAACCTCCCCAGGCTCAGTCTACACAGAGCGAACGGGAGACCTGAGGCAGTGGTTTCGATAAAAGAGAACCCCGTCTTGATGTGGGAAACAAAGGCAGAAGAGGAGTTATTAAATTTCCTTGCTATCTGCAGCCCACTGGCAAGTCGTTGAAACAGGCAGAGTGACAGCCCTCTAGGGACCCAGCTGCCTCGATGTCAAAGCTCTGCTAAAGGCAAAAGGCACTCTGAGCTCAACCACCAGGATCCTGGAAGTCTATTTTAACATAAAAATCTCTACCCACCACGATACTTGCTGGCAATCCTTCCCCAAGCATAGGACCCACCGATAGACACCTGAAGGGCCTCCTGACTCGGGTTGTATGAGGTGGTAATAAACGCCTCTCCCTAATCACAGCTAGCCCCCTAAAATCTGGAAACCTTGCTTCCTGACTTCCTTAGAGACGTACCTGATCCCTAACCCCCTCCCAACTTAAACGCATATAAGTAGTCCACAGCTCATAAGCCCGCTACAGCTCTTTCGGGGGGGGGGGGGCTTACTTTAATAAAACCACCTTCTTGCACCAAAGACATCTCAAGAATTCTTTCTTGGCCATCAGCTTCAAACCCTAATGTCTTTTCCTACATCACACGTTACTAATGGAAAAAAGAATCTTCTGATTCCGATAATATAATTTAGTTACCTCTTCTAATCATAGTTCTAAGACTCCCATTCCAATTTGCAGTGAAGACATAGATTAGTTCACAAATGAGACTTGGACCAGTTATGATTTCATTTCAAAACTGACAGAGCATTCACTGTTCCAGGAAAAGCCTGCATTAGATTACTGGTAGTGTCTTTAAAATATTAAAAATAATAATAATAAACAGAAGAGCAAGCAAACATGTAGTGTTCACCATATGCAAGAAACCGTTCCAAGTCTATTGACTAATTTAATCCAAACATCACACTGTGGAAGCAGCAGATCCAATGAGAGTGATTAAGTTTTATTTTAGAATATGTGGAGAGAGATTAATTTGACATCATTTACCTCCGTTAGGATAAACCATTTAAAACCACTAATGGCCTCAAACTAAAAGCCATCTCATGAGCTTAAATAATATGCTTTTCCTAGTACTGCATTTTGGAGAATTGATGTGACAACGTTTCAAAGCAATTCCCTTTGAAATGACAATTAACATAATCACCAAGCACTTACAGTATATGGCATTGTACTAGATACCAAGATTATTTTTCCACCAATTTTTCTTTTCTTCTGGTTTTTTTTTTTAAATCACACTATATCCTAATAACCAAAAATGCATCCTTGATCCCCATGGCATTGACTATTAGCCCCAAATGTTAGATTATGATCGACAGCATTTTAAGAGGTACCAGGGTCTGAATCTTAACCTCCCCAAAGTTCTTACACAAATAAATCACGATAGTGCCTACAGAACGTTAACGATGTGAATTAAAAACATGCAATACCTCTCATGTCAATGAATCTGCTTCATTTCAAGCTAGATTCCAACAGAAAGCAGAATTTAGGCTTCTGGATTTCCAACCACTTCCTCCCTAGCCAACTGAAAGTATACCTCACTCTCAATTGGAGCTTTCTGTGTACAGATTACGCGCACTGAGATGACCTCATGCACCCACAGCATCTAATCCTGGATTAGTCGTTACCATTATCATCACCCTTTGCAAAACAGTTAAAGTTACTTTAAAGTTCTACATGCTGGTGAGGCTGTGAGCTCCCATTTCTTCACCTCGTCTTCTTACGATGTCCAGAAAGGGAAGATTAAAGAAAACTAGGTAGCATGAGGACTCTAACTAAAGCAGTGCCCCTCACTGAAATGTTAGGCTTGTGATGACTTTGAAGAGACTTTAACTAAGGATTCTGAAATCCCATATAAAGCCCCTCCGTTGGTGTCATTAAACCTTACCACATTCCCAGGGCAAAATCATCAGATTCAGTGGATGGGAATAAGGGGGTTAAGAACACAAGAAAAAAAAACAAAAAGGAAAGGTGATACCAGAAGGGAATTTCATGTAAAAACATGAAACACAAACAGGCCCAAGGAAAACACTGCAGGGGTCCCGACGAGCCCCTAGCCCACCCTGGGAGCACAGCCAGTGTGAAATAAGACCCGCCTGGGTGGCAGAAAACCACAGGCTCAACATCTATGTTTGAGTAATTATCTTTAATTTGCCCCAAATAATGACCAAAATCCGTTATACTTACCCAATAACTTGGTGCTCATAATACTGCAGGGTCCTCTTGAGAGTCTGCTGTATCGTTTGAGGCTGGAGAATAATAACAACAACAAAATATATTATCAGCAGATCAGTGCCATTCCCATTCTGAGCATCAGACACAGATATGCACCTTCTGACTGATCTCGTATGCATTTTCGCTTTACAATATTAACCCATTACACATTCTGCCATGTATTTTCCCCGCAGGAACTAATACGAGGCCCTCAGCAATTACCCAGAATTTCTCAATTTCAAGTAGGATAGCATTTCCTGGCTGTATTTTTTCCAATTCTTCCATACCAGCTCTTAGGTTCAACAAAACATCTGCTGGCGATAAACCAAGGTTTTGGGGACAGCGGAGGGGAGGTGTACTAAAGGAAATGTGGGTGGTGCTCAGGTCAAACCTGACTTCTTCAAGGACCCAAGAGATTCCAAGCAAGGGCTCCAAACCCTCGTGGGCAAAGGAGGGGGTGTGTGGCAAATACCTAAGTCATTCCTGACCAAACAGTAGAATCCTTTCGTCTCCATGACAGCTGAAGATAGAGTTTCTTAATTCCAAATCAAGACATTTTTTCTTAGACTAACTTAGGCAACAGAGCCTGAGTTTGTAGTTTCTGACTGAGGGAGATGGGAAGATCCCAGAACATAGATTTAATTAAGAAATTATGGTAAGAACCTAATTTTTCAGGGGCAAGAGTGTGAATTTCTTTAAATATAAAAACGCAGAGTCATTCGGGCACAGAGAATAATCTTCCGCAGGCTTATCAAAAGATGGGTTCATTACAGCGACGGATGAATTTTAGGGGAACATAAGGACTTTGATATTCTCTTCTTGAGATGGGAGGCAGCAGGCAGTTGGCAATCTCATGGCTCTGCCCCTGATTAACCAACCACACATATCTGGGTGAGGTTGAGAAAACTCACCGTCTTAAAAACAGGCAATTTTTTAAAAAAGGCTACAGACAGAGGTTGTCGTCCAGGTTCCCTTGCTCCCCTTCCCTGTTCACCTCTCTATAAAAATGTCCAGGACAGAGGTAGCAGCCTCCTTACCCAAGACTCTTCCAAGTTTCAGCCTCCTTCTTGACAGGAAAGGGTTATTGGAAAGCAAGAGGAAAGTGAACTTCGATTAAATCAAGGGCATCCCCTGAAATCTGTTCTACGCTACCATTGAGGAAAGCTCTTTCACTGAGCAAATCTAAGGCTTCCCTTAAGCCAAAGCAATCAGAAATTAATTTTAGGAGGAATCAGCCTCCCCGTGTTGAAGGAAATAGGTACAGGGCAAATGCTTTTAACAGCCGGTTTTCATTTGTACTAAGTTAAAAAGATGAACGGGAGACTTCGAACCTGCACAGATATCTCAGAATCAAAGCAGAGTAAATAGAATATACCTAAGGAAATGAAAAAATCACGTCTGAGCCAAGAGCAGTGGAGCTGTTGAGAAATCTAGGGGGGACGAAGCAGACATAGCAATCCTAGTGCACAGGAAAAGTGTGCTTTCAAAACCCGACCCGCGGCCAACACAAACCAAGTCATTATCAGTCACTGGCTCAGGACCCCTGGGACCCGGGCCCCTTGCACTGGCTTGGCAGTTGGTGAGCTAAGATAACTTCTCTTTGGCCGCAAGCCCTAAATGCAGTGAATATGCACAGCGGGATTACCCTTCCAGTAACCTCTGGTCGCAACACATGGAACAGAAAGCAGGAACTCGAGTGCACAGGGCCAGCCAGTAAAGACCAGAATGACCTCATTTGTACAAAGGGACATTTTTTCCCTGCACCAGGAATTTCCCAGTCATTAAAAAGCACATGTTTGCAAGAGGAGTTGAGCCTTTTAAAGAGCTGATTTTTTTTTTCTTTTGTAAAGCAATTACTTTTCTTCCCCAGTGGGAGTTAAATTTATAGTTTCCAAATACATTAAAAAGAAAATGTTCTCTGGCCATAGCTGACCAAACTTCAACTTGGGAAAGCATTTATACACTTGCTGTGGCCTGCCGAAGCCAGTGGGCACGTTCTGAGGGTCTAAACGAGGAGTACGGAGGCTGAGGGCAGAGCGTCTCCTCACCAGCAAGCCATGGCAGACTTCCCCACACACCTGGCTCCCCAGGACATCTCATCACCGTGGACTCAGTGAACCTTCTTCAGAGTCTGCCTGATTGCTCAACCAATGGCTCTTATCAGTGAGAGACATCTTCACGAAATCTCTGGGTCTCTCTGCCCTGAATACAACAGCATGAAGACCCACATGGGGGCCACAGCCATCCACAGGGGTGACTTCTGCCTGGAGAGTCATAGGGTACACTTCTTTGTGTCCACATTACGTCAGTGACACAAGCCAGTGAGTGGGAAACACACGGAGTCTGAAGATGGGCAGACCTTCTCTTCTTTAAGAATGCAACTCTATGGGCGCCTGGGTGGCTCAGTGGGTTAAGCCACTGCCTTCAGCTCAGGTCATGATCTCAGGGTCCTGGGATCGAGTCCCGCATCGGGCTCTCTGCTCAGCAGGGAGCCTGCTTCCCTCTCTCTCTCTCTGCCTGCCTCTCTGTCTACTTGTGATCTCTCTCTGTCAAATAAATAAATAAAAATCCTTTAAAAAAAAAAAAAGAATGCAACTCTACACATGTTCCCCACTCAACAGTTCCACAGACCAAGATCCCCTTCCTCCTATCTGTATCTGTCCCCTCCTTTAAGAAGGAGTTTAGAAACATGATTTTAGAAAAGAAGATTTAATATCAAAGTGAGTTCAAAATCCAGCTCTGGGACTCATGAGCTAGAGGACCCTGGGTGGTTCACTTAAGCTCTCTGAGATACGATTCCTTATGTAGACATTACTTTCCATGGAAATTAATTGAAATAAAGCAGTCTCTGGTGCACAGGTGGTACCTAGTAACGGAGAGTTATGACCACGCTCAGCTGCAAAACATGGCTTCCACCCTCGAGCATTTCATAGTCCAGTGGAGGACAGGATAGAGCATCCGCCCCCTAAGTGTAATGCTTCGAGATTCTTACCACCCAAAAAAATCAACAGAGCTAGCGTGACCTCCCCTTGTAAGAGGGTGCCGATTCCAGGAGACAGAAGAAACGATTTAAAAAAAAAAAAATGGCAGCAGAACATATAAATATTTCCAATGAAAAATTCAGATCAGTCCAGAGATGGCGGTAAAAGCAGAATTCTGAAAATGAAGATTGGGGACAGATCTAGAAAGCAGGCTTACATATGGGAAGGACCCTGAGGCACCACAGCTGAGATCAGGAACCCAGGCATTAAGCTTTACAAGACATAAGAAACACGCCATGAGCCTCCTTCCCAGGACACAAAGAGTGTGCAACAGAAGAACCAGGTGGCCTTATAACTTCATAGCCAGAGGCTGGAGGATCTGAGAGACACGGGTGGGGAAAAAGAAAAAGGCACTCTTCCTTTCACAAAAAGACAAAGAGATCTGTGATTCTTCTCTGCTTACCCCAAGCTAAGATAGAGCTGGGGTCTCCTACCATCCCCGCTCAACACCAAGGAGCACTGAACAGGAAGACAGCCGGACAGACAAGGCGGCCGTCTGGGTCCCACCCATGGATACTATGGGGTTAAACAGAAGGTACTCAGAAGCTGCCATCACGGAGCCACCGGGAACCATCTTCATCTCTAGTCTCAGAATAGCTTCCCCCTGCTTGGCCAGCAGTGCTGACCCCGCGGACTAAATGTGATGCTCACAGAAGGTCATGGGATCCAAACAGCCAGCCATGAAACGGTCCCAGCAGAGCCAGAGAAGTGGTCCCTGAGGAGTGGGAGGAAGCCGTTCCCAGCAGCTGGCCCTGCAGGCTCAGACGGCAAGCGGAGCCTGGGGCACAGTCCCTGCTCTGGAGACCCGCACCAGATGGATCCGGGATCCGGCAGGAGGCGGGGAGCCAGGCCGCCAGTGTGCGCGCCTGTGCGCATGCGCTCGCGGGAACCCCTGTCCCCAGATAGATGGCACACGTTCACCTCAATTTTAGAGATTAAGAAGCTGAGGCTCAGACTGGTTAAGTAAGTATCCCGGGATCACAAAACCAGTGAGTGACTAAACCACTGCAGGCCAAGACTGGCTTCAAAGTGTACCCTGTTTCTACTAGATGCCTGGAGGGTCCCTTTGACCTTGAACATCCTGGGATTCTACCTTAATGCTGACAGCACTTCATCATACCAAAAATAGACACAACTTCACAGATAACTTAAAAACAAACTTCTCATTTCCGCTTTATAGCACAGACCGGTAGGCTACAGAATTAATGGAAACCATACATCCATCATCCTTTAAACAAATATCTGTAACTAGCCACGTCATTTTATTTACCTAAACATGGAAAAATTAAATATCCAGAAACTAAATAATAGTGATATACATTTAATTACTAATGCTGTAAGCCAGTGGTTTTCTATTCTCTCTGCACATTAAAATCACCTTGGGGACCTTCTAGAAAACACCAGCGCCTGAGCTCCACCTCCAAATTTTCCGATTCCACCAGTCTGGGAGACCCAGTTGCTTCCAGTGGGCAGTCAGGGTTGAAAACCTTTCGTTTAAGGTATAAACATGATAATCAAGACCAGTAATCCTCCAGAAACCTTACTTGAACCGAGTAAGTCAGCATTCATGAGAACAGTTTCTTTATTCAAGCGTCAGGAGAAGTAAGCTGGGAGGTATACACACCCAACTGTCAAATTCAACACAGTTTGTTCCTTAACTGTCACTAATGGCTTATAATCAAGTATGAATTTCTTAGACAAACAAAGAGCTACACGGCTTGAGGCATAAATACAGGGTTTTTTCAATTCCCATGTAATTCACTCCCAGGCGCTTACGTCAGTATTCGATTTAGTGCAGGCTCGTACACACAACATAACGGCTCGTGTGACACTTCCTCCATGTGAGCCTTCACATCTTCATGGGTGTTATTACTTTACAGCTAAGAAAGGCGAGACACACAGCATTTGAGTTGCCCTGTGCCACACAGGTAAAAAGAAGCAACACCAGGGTCGTGTCTCAGGTAACCTGCTCCAGAATCCAAGCACACCATCTC